TTATTATGTTATGTTAGTCACCATACATTACATCATTAGTTTTTGATGTAGTGTTCCATGATTCATTGTTTGCGTATAACACCCAGGGCTCCATGCAGAACGTGCCCTCTTTAATACCCATCACCAGGACACTAAAAAGCTTTTTAAAAATTTCCACTTTAATAAAGGTATTATTTCAATGAAGCACACTAACCCAGAAGTCAGAAAGTCTAAACTCTGTGGGTTCCAGTAATTACTCCTAAAAACAAATATTCTATCTTTGTACATGTGGTAGGCAAAATAATCTTCCAGAGGTGTCTACATCCTAATCCCCGGAACCTGTGAATGTTTTACATATGTGGCAAAAAGAACCTTGCAGATGGGATTAAGGATTTTGAGATGGGGAGATTTTCCTGAATTATGTCAGTGGGCCTAATGAGATCACAAGAATTCTTGTAAGAGTGAGACAATAGGATCAGAGTCAGAAAAAGGAGACTGGACAAGAGAATCATAGGCTGGAGTGATGTGCTTTGAAGATGAAGGAAGAAGCCATGAGCCAAGGAAAGCAAGAGGCCTCTAGAAGCCGGAAAAGGCAGTAATTCTCCCCTGGAAGCTCCAGAAGGAATACACCCCGGCTGACACCTTGATTTTGCCTCCATAAAACTCACTTTGGACCTGACTTCCAGACTTATAAGATAACAAATTTGTATTGTCTTAAGCCAGAGTTTGTAGTAATTTGTTACAACAGTAATAGGAAATTTGTATCTCTATATGCCATAGCAGAAATTGAATAATTGATACCTTTTAAGTTGATTCATTTACCAAATATTTCCATGCTACCACATGTTTGTTGATACTTTGGGAATCAAGGATATAGGAGTAAGCTAAATAGACATGATTTCTGTTCCATTAAACTTGCAATCTATAAGGAGGTAGGATTATGTTCCTTACAGATGAGAAAACTATGGATTTATCCAATGTGAAAATTAAACCAGTTGTTTGTGTAGAAAAATAAAACAACTGGTTAACAATTTTTTCACTTTTTAATAAGTTAGGTTGGTATCCCACTGTGACTCATTGCATTTTTATGTCATAATTAAACTGTATTATAATTGTGACTGCTGTTGTCTGCTTGCCAAGTTCCAACTCTGCCTCTGCTTTTTTTAAAACCTAGGGTCGGAGAAATAAATTGAGAATCTTAAAGGTCTGGTGATTCTTTACTTAATTCTTGTGAAGCTATCTATGTTCATAACCTCAAGATATGTAAAAGATACTTCTATAGCTAATGGTAGACTAAGCGCAAATAAATCTTAAGCAGGGGCGCCTGGGTGGCTCAGTTGGTTAAGCGGCTGCCTTCGGCTCGGGTTATGATCCTGGGGTCCTGGGATCAAGCCCCATGTCCGGCTCCCTGCTCAGTGGAGAGCCTGCTTCTTCCTCACTCTCTGCCTGCCACTCTGCCTACTTATGTTCTCTGTCAAATAAATAAATAAAATCTTAAAAAAAAAAAACTTCTTAAAAAAAAGAAATCTTAAGCAGTCAAGGCTTTTGTTACAAAGGACTTTGAGACATTGATAATTATATATGATCCAAACACATTCATGTGTTTTTCATACACAGAAGAAGAGATTATAATGATGGAAAGCCTTCCTTTGCCCAACAAGGCTGACGAAGCTTAAGCTTCAGGGCCCTTTATGTACATATGCAGCTTATGTCCAAGGCTCTGCAAGAGGCTCTAGAAGTATGTTTACATGGCCGTGAGTTTTTCTAACATATGAAAAAATAAGGTATTAACCAAAGTCATTTTGATTAAGGGAGCTGTCTCTTTGCACTCTAATTTTCTATCCCACTTTCCTCCACTCAGATGGTGTTGGTATAGCCACAGGTGTTTCTCAGATCTGGCTAAGGTGCGGTTGGGTTGTGGATGCATGTTTTTTGGTTCAGTAGGATATATTAATGTAGTTTGCACATTCATGCATAGTTGAGGTCCTGCCAGAAATCTCAGTGTAGTGTTGGATTCCAGGTTTCCTCCTGACCACTGGGCTGACTTCCCTGGTACAAGGTCAGAGATTATATTATGATACACACATGTCCCATCACACCCAGCCCCAGAAATACGTGGAAAGGAAAGGACAGCCAATGTTTCAAATATATGGAATCAGAAGTCAGTCTGTGAACAATTCTGTAACATGTAAATTTAAGTAGGATATTGAGTTCTTCTTGATAGCAGAACTTAATCCTAACAGAAGTTCTCTCATGTCAAGAACATACTTGATAACGTTGTGTATACAATTACAAATGCACTACACATCTCTTCATTTTTGATATGAATTTCATGAAACAGAATGTTAAAATTCCTGTGCTTATATGGTACAAACCTGTAGTGACACCAACCAGAGTACATCTATAAAGTCACTGATGTTTTGTGCATCTCAACTATTAATTTTTTTAAAAAATCAATCAACCATCCTAAAGAAATAACAGACTTATTTTTTGGTTGTTATTTGAAAATAATCCAATTATGTAGGGAAAAATATAGGGAGATGAAGTATTTTAGAGATTATCAGGCACTTAATTGAGAAAAATATTATGTCTATTGATTTTAGGGTATTTGTGGGACAAGTTTATTATTTGATATGATTTTATTTCTCATAATAAATACACAAATGTTCATAACTTTGTACCCATAATTGTGTATCTTTACCAGTGGTTCCTCCAAAGAGTGTAAGCTTTAGGTCCCATGAAGTCAGCCCTGTAGGATAGCAAGTAGAGTAAGAGTAGAGGCATTTGATCAGGCAAAGCGGGCAGCATGACCCTACTCAACACTGAGAAACCAGGTCTCTGTGATCTGCTGGAGGATGATTGTGCAATGTGCACCTGAATGGAGCTGGTTCTTCCTGGTTTGCTTTGCATTTGGAATACTGGATGGAAGATCAAGAGAAAAGAGTTTTTATGATCAGATCTTCCCTTGAGAACCTTGAGTGAGTTCCTGGAACCTTTCAGTGCCTCAGTTCCCTTATCCAGATACTGTTGTGTTTAAGAGCATAAACCCTAGAGTCACACCATCTGGGTTCCAAGTGGTAATTCCGGCACTTACTGTGTGACCTCGGGGCAAGCCACATTTGGCTAAGCCTTAGTTTCCTTACCTATTAACGAAATAAGGAAATGACCATTCTTACCTCAGAGGTTTGTCGTAGGGATCAAATGACATAATGAATGTAAAGTGCTTAGCACACTCCTGGGCATATAGTAAGTGCTCAATAAATGACTGTTATTTTTCTATGGGAAAATAACATACCTAAATCTGACGTCTGTCTTTCTCAGAGAAATGGTGTCAGGGAGAAATGATTAAGTAGTGTCAGGAGAAAAAGAAAAAGACTAAATTGAAATGTACCATGTTCATAAGTGTGGGGGTAACAGTCCCTGAAAATGCTCATCTATTTGTTCTAGGTCATAGGACTCGGGCCCTATGTATGTGCACATGAATCTGTTGGGGGGACAGGGGAAGCACAGACAGGGATAGGGTCAGGAAGGAAAGCAGCACCCAGCATGCCTGGGATGCCAGGCTCTCTTCTGTTGCCCGACTCCTACTGCTTCTTTGTGTGGGCACCCATTCAGATGACTTGACCTCACTTTCCAGGGTCTTATCATTTGAGGAACAGTAATGTGGAAGCTGGCTAGTACTCAGTGCTGTGCTAAGTCAGAAGGTGGGTGCAAGCCCCTGGTCCCATCTCCTCTACTAAACCAAGGTTGGCACAGAAACCTCCACACATCACCGTATTCTTCAGTCCTGAGCATGCTACAACATTCTCAGAGATGAGGACAAAACAATGCCCTCACAAAGCTGCTACTTAAATGGGCAGAATGGAAAAGATTTATGGTTTGGGCAAAGAGGAGGATCTATAGTAATAGGGAGATTTCCTACTCTTCCTAGAAAAAAAGAAGGTAAACTAATATCTTATCTGGTAAGTCTAATAATTTTGTTTTGTTTCATCACTAGGTTTACTACTTTTGAGAACATAGGTCACTTGAGATTCAAAACACAAAATTTTGAACTAAAGCCAGAAATGTGCTCTTGGTGCTGTAGATGTGTGTATACATGCATAATGATTAACCATGTTCATACAATTGCCTCATTTACTCCTCACAACAATCTCCCAGTTAGGAATTGCAGCCTTAGCATCCACTGTTTATCTATTAGGAGATGAATGCTCTAAAATGTTAAAGGAGTTGCCTGAGATTGCCCAGCAGAGAGCAGTAACCTTGCCTTCCCACAAAAAACACACATCCAGATATGAATAAATACTTTGACTATGAACACACAGCCTCTATGTGTATGAAATCATGTGAATATTTGTGAAATAATAACTTTTTTCTTCCTGTGGTATTTCTCTCTTTCCCTTCACTGGTTAGAGCAGAGAATCAATCTCCGCCACTGGCTCAGAACTGCTTGGGGGGTGGGGCAGAAAACATCCTCTGATTTTCCTATACCTGGTTTCCAAGAGCCTAACTCTTAGAAGAATATTGATGATTTGTGGCATAGGCCAGGTAGTGGAGAAAACACAAAGGGAGAAAGATTTCCCTTCTAGACTTCAAAATAGTTTCTTCTGGATTGTGGGGAGAAGAGGCAGAACAGACAAGTTAGCCTTATTCAGAAGACAGTGGCTGAGAATGTCTAGAGCAGAGCCCAGGAGAGATAACATCAACCTGGGCAGGAAATCTGCATTCATGCACATGGGACAAAGGGTGGCCTAGCAAGGACCCGTGGCTCTACTATGCTAGGGAAGCAGCAACAAACTCTTTTTTTTTTTTTTTTTTAAGATTTTATTTATTTATTTGAGACAGAACGAGAGAGACATAGAGCACATGAGAGGGGGGAGGGTCAGAGGGAGAAGCAGACTCCCCGCCGAGCAGGGAGCCCGATGCGGGACTCGATCCTGGGACTCCAGGATCATGACCTGAGCCGAAGGCAGTCGCTTAACCAACTGAGCCACCCAGGCGCCCAGCAGCAACAAATTCTTACCTCCAGAGGTGTCACCAAACCAGCAAGTGAGCCACAGGCCTGAAGGTGCCATATGGATAGATGGTTGGCAGTTTCTCTATGGCAGTCTGTGTAGAGCAGATCCCACCCCACTAGGGCCTTAAACTTCATCATGACCTTCAAACACTTAGCACAACTTCAGGAAGGAAGGGTACCACCAAAAGTCCCGAAGTTTTCTGCCATGCCAGCCAAATAATGTCTGAAAGTAGAAATTAAGTTGAATTTTAGAAACATAAATGTAGCTTGAACACCTGAGATTTAAACCCATTGTTTTATCTCAAAAAAAAAAGAAAGGAAATCAATTATACAAGAAACAACAGGTGTTGGCAAGGATGTGGAGAAAGGGGAATCCTCTTGCACTGTTGATGGGAATGCAAACTGGTTCAGCCACTCTGGAAAACAGTATGGAGGTTCCTCAAAAAGTTAACAATAGAACTACCCTAGGATCCAGGATCACATTACTAGCTTTACCCAAAGAACACAAAAATACTAATTCAAAGGGATACATGCACTCCACTCTTTATAGCGGCATTATCTACAATAGCCAAGTTATGGAAACAGCCCAACTGTCCACTGATGATGTAGTATATAGATATACAATGGAACATTGCTCAGCCATAGAAAAGAATGAAAATTTTTCATTTGCAGTGACATGGATGGAGCTAGAGAGTATTATGCTAAGCAAAGTAAGTCAGAGACAAATACCTTATGATCTCACTCATATGTGGAATTTAAGAAACAAAACACGTATTGTATGGAGCACTGGGTGTTATTTGCAAACAATGAATCATGGAACACTACATCAAAAACTAATGATGTATGTATGGTGACAAACATAACATAATAAAAAAAAAGAAACAAAACAAATGAACAAAGGGAGAAAAAAGAAAGGGAGAGAGGGGCAAACCAAGAAACAGTCTCCTTTTAAAAAAAAAAAAGATTTTATTTATTTATTTGCTAGAGAGCAGGAGAGAGAGCAAGAGAAAGCACAAGCGGGGGGAGGGGCAGAGGGAGAGGGAGAAGCAGACTCCCCACTGAGCAGGGAGCCCGATGCTAAGCGGGGCTCAATCCCAGGACCCTGAGATCATGACCTGAGCCGAAGACAGATGCTTAACCAACTGAGCCACCCAGGCACCCCAAGAAACTCTTAACTATAGAGAACAAACTGATGGTTACCAGAGGGGAGGTGGACCAGGGAGATGGGTTAAATAGGTGATGGGGATTAAGGAGAGCACTTGTAATGAGCACCGGGTGATGTATGGAAGTGCTGACTCACTATATTGTACACCTGAAACTAGTATTACACTGTATGTTAACTAACTGGAATTTAATAAAATTAAATAAAAACTTTAAAAAATAAATAAGTAAAAATAAAAACGTTTATACTTTTAAAAAAGGAAACATAATGGCAGTAGTAGATATATATATTCATTTAGAACATTCACATACATTCATTTAGAACTATAGCTGTTACAGTTGCATGTGTCAGATTCTGTTTCTCTAAAACAAGCAAGGGATATTTTTCCATCCCCATATCCGATCCCTGCTAAAGGTTTAAAACCTAGAAAAAGCCATCAGATATAATCACTTGAGCTCTCCCTCTGGTGAAACCTCTCATAAAAGAGACTTACACTATCTATTGTAGAGATCTGAGATATATAAAATTTAGTGCATTCCAAGGTAGACCCTGCATCCTGGGGGCCTTATCTCAAAAGGAAAACTGACATCTAAAAAATATAGGGTGCTCAAAACTTCTACTGTCTGTCCTCTTAGGCATTCTGAACTCAAAGTTTCCTGATCCCAATGACAAGGAACATAAATTTTTTGGAGCAAAGAACAGATTCAAATTATAGGTTAAGATTACCCTGCATGTATATTGTCACTTTATTTTTTTTCAAGATTTGCCTCAATTAAAACTTGGAGCTATCTTATTTTTCCCAAAATAAGTCTGGTAAAATCATTGTTCTTCCTCCCAAGTAGATATAGGGTTGTACATATATGACTGTTGCCTGTTGGTGCCATTTATTGTTGTGTTCTCTTGCTTCCCACGCAAACACGTCTTTCACTTTCACACCTCTATGACTGTGCTCCTGCTGTTCTCTCCGCCCGGAGTGCCTTTCTCTCCACTTTGGGGTGAATTTGCCTTCCTCTACAAAATCCTCTTTTGCATCCCCTAAGGAGCCCCTCATTCCCCTGTGCCCCCATCTCATTTCACACAAGGCTCTGTGGTGGTACATATTAAAGTAGCAGCCTACTCCAACCTTGGAGTCTTTGCACTTCTGTACCTTCTGCAGGTCTTTTTGCAAAGTCTACTGTCTGAGAGAAGCCTTATCTGACTACTCAAATTAAGAGTATGGGGCGCCTGGGTGGCTCAATCAGTTCAGCGTCTGCCTTCAGCTCAGGTCATGATTCCAGGGTCCTGGGATCAGCCCCATGTCATCAGCTCCCTGCTCAGCAGCGAGTCTGTTTGTCCCTCTCCCCTTTTCCCCGCTCATGCTCCCTCTCTCTCCTCGCTCTCTCAAATAAATAAATCAAATCTTTAAAAAAAAATTAAGAGTATAATGACTCTTAATCCCACTAGCTCTTTCTCTGTTTTATTGTTTCTCTTTGGTGCACAGCATTATTGAACATACTATGTATTTCATTCTTCTTATTTTATTTAGTTCCTTGTTTGTCTTCCCCATTCTAAGGTAAGATTGCTGACTATTTTATTCACAATTCACCATCCCACAACACCTGGCACACAGTAAACAATAAATATTTGTGGAATGAATGAATGAGTGTGTGACTATTACCCTATTGAATTATATATCTACCCACTTATCTATGCCCTACTCATTCTCATATGTTCTTTACCCCTTAGGACAGTGCTGGGTGCATCCACTAATATTTACCAAGGAAGAGTAGATGGATAAACTGAATTAGCCATCCCTTTTTTTGCAACCGAGAAAGGATGGAAATTTTATCCTAATCTGTAACATATTTTTGTAATACTATAAAATAACAGTGTTTCCTGAAGAGTGGAGGCAGATCTTTTTCACCGGCAAGTAGAATGATAAAAAGTATCCATAAATTATTCCCATAATACCGAGTATCTGAATACTTTTTTCAATAAGACAAGTCATTAAATTCCACAGCAAAAATTTATTGAGTGCCTAGTATTTATCAGGCACGAGGCATTATATAAAGTCAAATAATTTAAATTCAGCTCCAAAGTGTACTAAAACAATAGAAAAGTCTGGAGAATTTTACTTGAATATCTCTGTTTGTGAAAAATATGTCTCACTCTAAAATTTCAAGCCCTGCACATTGGTTGCAAGTGAGGAAAAATAAAACCATAAAGTGCAATTCAAAACTTTAATAAAAGAGTAGAATCTAAAATATAGCAGCAGCTAAAGCAGTAATAAACCAAATGAAACCGAATTGCACAAGAAGGCCATGCCACCTTGTGGGTACTGGGAGTATTTTACCATCCTCGATATATAACTAGAGAAAGAGTGACCAATTAGAGAAGCAGTAATTAGAAAGATTTTCAGCAATTTTTTTAACAGTAAATAAAACACATGGTACTCACTTTTTGATGCAGGAACTGTTGGAAGCTTTTGATACCAAAATGCAATGCATCTTGAACCACTTTGATGAAAGAAATAAACTGTAGGTGATGAGGATATGTTTTAAAACAAAGATCATCTTCTTTATAAATGAACTCGAACATCTTCTTAAAGATGCAGACATGCACTCTTTCCTTTTCAGTTGTCTGAACAAAAGATATAGATTGTTTAGACAAAAATGCACTCAAACAATAAATAAATAAAATCAACCACACACAGACTCTAGTGTAATGTCCTAAGAAATTATAATGCCTGTGTGAGCTTGTACTAACACGTACCTTAAAATTTAAAGATATTATGTAATGAGAAACATAATTTTTCAGAAACACTAAAAGTACTAGTCATGAGACTACTATTTTTTTTTAAAGATTTTTTTTCTTTTTATTTATTTATTTGAGAGAGAGAATGAGATAGAGCATGAGAGGGGGGAGGGTCAGAGGGAGAAGCAGACTCCCTGCTGAGCAGAGGGAGAAGCAGACTCCCTGCTGAGCAGAGAGCCCAATGCGGGACTCGATCCCGGGACTCCAGGATCATGACCTGAGCCGAAGGCAGTCGCTTAACCAACTGAGCCACCCAGGTGTCCCGAGACTACTATTGCTATAGATAAATCTATCATTGTCTTGAAATAATAATTTGTGGGAAAAATAAACATTTGTACAGGCTAATGGATGTAGGACCATAAGGCTATTGAGAAGGTAGAAAAATAAAATTAATTTTTCTTATAGGAAGAATTGTCCCTGGTCTCAAATTAGAATCTTAGAATCATAAACTTTAATACTGGAAAGTACCTTAAATGAAGCAGAGGGACCAATGACTCATTCTAATGAATCCTTAGGCAACCAAATTATTTCATCTCTTATTATTCTTTATCTGAGTATTACCAAAAATCAACAAAGAAAAAACTCTCTTACTGGCAAAATACAAAAAATAACAAAAGCAGAGTAGTATAACTGAATGCTAGCTGGAAAGGGTTTAAGAGATTATTGAATCCAGAATTTCCAAAAGATATTTGTTATACTCTATTCCCAAAAGATACTCTGATATGCCATTAGAAAAAAATTTTTGGAAAATACTGAATCAAAGTTAAGCTAGGGTCTTTAACTGAAGATGCTTTCACACCCCTTAACATGCTAGTATTAATTTGGAAGATATAGTATGCAGCATTTTTCAATTTATTTTATTTTATAATTTTACTTCTTCAGATAATTCACAAGTCTAAAGTACAAATTTTGAGAACTCTGATTTAAGCCAATTCCTTATTTTATAGAGAAGGAATTGAGACCATATTGGTATTTAATTTGCTCAACACAACAAAACTAAAAAATTTCATGGACAGGCCTAGGTCCCAGTTTTTCCTAATCCCTAAATTTAGTGGGGTTTTTTTGGGGGGGAATGATGCCACACTGAACTGATTCTTTCCAAATTGTCATAATTCAAAATTACTGCTCTGAAAAGGCAAATGTGTTAAGAAAAAAAAAAGTGCACTAAATATCTCTAATCACAACTTTATGTTGTGTTTTATACAATCATTGACCACCAAAAGATCTAACACCTCTAACTTGGCCTCTCCCCTAAAGCTTCGACTTCCCAAAATGACATCGTTGTGGTTTCCTCAAAGTGAGACCACCAGATAAGAATAGTAATACAAATTAGTTTGATTAACTATAGTGTTTCTGCCTCTCTTGGGTTCAAACCCAGATGTATAGTCAAATTGGTTGGCTTTAAAATGTTCATTTTGAGAAAGTGTCCTTGACTATAAATGAAGTAATTCAAATATTTAGAGAAAATTTTCATGCTTAGTGATGTGAAAAACCATGACATTTACCAAAAATAGGTATTCATATGCTCTAGCTCTTACTTTCATGGGGAGGAGTAGATAGAAGGGGAAGATGTGGGGGTTATGGGGTTGAGTGCAGCAAAGGCATGTTTTCCCCAAGATCATGGAGCAAAGGGGTAGATGTGTTCAGTGACATACCTATAGTTCCTTCTGCATGAGGCACTGGCCTGGGAGCACAAGATTCATGTAGAGATGGCTTTAGGATGTCTTGGAGGGAAAAAGTAGCTCTCTAGCATACTGAAATCCTATTCTGATGAAAACATGCATTCAGCTGGACTTAATAAAGCAGTATTTATTGCTTTAGAAGATTGACAGATGTTTACATTGCTCTGTAGCAAAGAGAAAAAAAAAAAAAAAAAGCAGCCTGAACTTGATAAATTACTTTATGATAACAGAATCCTGGGAACTAGGACATGACTTCAATGTTAAGACTCCAATATACCCATTTTCAGGGTAGACTCTCATCTGCAGAGGCCATTTGTCCCTCTGAAACATCCTTACTTCCTCTTTGTGCTCTCTGTGTGTTTAGACTAAAGGAACTCAAGATTATGTTGATAACACTACTGGAACAGGTTTTGGGTGTTGTTTTTTTTTTTAAGACGCTAAATAAAAAGAGAATGAAGGCTCTCATTTGGACAAATTGGGCCCTAAAACCCTGCTATTGAGGAAAAGGTCTGATTGTTTTAAAGTGTTGGTAATTGTCATCTTAATGCAATGCATTAAGTGAACAATTGCCAGTTTTCAAAGTATATTTTTAGGGCTCCTGTCAACCTAATTTTTTATAAAAATGATGCAAAAAGAAATAGAAAGGAGAAGTACTGAATATTAAATCTTTCTTCAGCCCACTGTCTGATTCTCTTAAGGTCTGTGCTGATATTTTTAGGCTCTCAGCACATATAAAATTTCATGGCTGTTTTAATATACATACAGGCTTGAAACAGATGAAAGCTTCCATCTGAATGATATAGATTCCTACTCCCACACGCAATACTCAGACAAAACACATGAAACTAAGTTTAACTACTCCAGAGGAAAAAAAGCTAATTCAATCTTGCCAGGATCTGAAGCTGTGATTCTAAGGATTTTAGGCTTTTCAAATCTGTTCTTTAGCTTTTTGACACACTCCCCTCTGTTAGGAGCTCTCACATGGACTCAATCCCAAGACTTGTCTGGTGTCTACATAGTGAGTCTTCATTATTCAACATGGTTACAATCCTGGGGGGTCATGATAAACAACAGAATATCAAGTAAGTGAGTAGAGAAGTCTGTTCTCTGGTAGAAGGCAAGGTCCTTCAGAGAGAATTAATTTCTGTTCCTGGATCAATGAGAAAGCTGCAAACCAATGAATAACATGACAATGAAGAACGAGGACCTTCTATCCATATGTAGTCAAACCCCATCGGAAAGAAGGGAACAGACCTGTAATTGAGAACTTATTATATACTATGCACTGTACATGGATTTTAAAAAACACTTTTTTAATTTTATTCCAGGAGACCTCATAAGTTTGCTCATAGTGAGTTTTCTACCCTCTGTTTTTTATAGAAAAAAACCCAAAGTCTCAGAGCTTACGTAACTTGCCCAAGTTTACACTGTAATGAGGAGTGTCCAAATTTGAAAGTCCCAAAGCCAATTAGTACTGTAAGACTCAATTTACCCCAGCAATGGAAAATTCCCTATAATCAACATGGCTAGAGTGTGCATGAAATCTACCTACCCAGCAAACAAGTGACTGCTGTACACTTAGCCATTATCCAAATCTTGCACAACTTATCCAGCTATTGGGAAGCCCCTTCTGAATGGAAACATATATATGTTTGAGGTCTCAGGGTGAGGAAAAAGGTGTTGCTCCTTTTTATGAGTAAGGCAAAATTCTATCATGTTTCTTTTTTTTTTCAGTTTTATTAAGGTATAATTGGCAAATAAAATTGTAACCTATTGTGTTTCTTAAAAGGAAAATAAAAGAGTCAGATTGCCACCACTGCCCTAGCGACCCAATTCAATACTTCAATGCACATCTACTGATTGCACTTTTGTTGTGAAGTTCAATGGTTCTTTGCAATCTAAGCAATACACTAAAATGGGTTGAGTCCCGGCTCATTCACTAAAATGTTATGATCTTGTCTCCCTCATTAGGAAGACTGACAGTTGGTGAGAATGTGTCATGTGAAAACTGTCAGAAGAAATCTCAGTGCATATCTTTTGTAAACCTGTAATTATAACACAAATAATTGATAAACTGCTAAATATATTGTTTATCGAAATGCACTTTCCAACTATCAAAAAAGAGAGAAAAACTCAATTATTGATGTTTCTAAGGCTTGTTTTCCTGTGCTATTGTTTTCAGTTGGGTCTATATAATCATGAAACAAGGGTTACTTGTGGTTGTACTATTTCCCCTTCTTTGCAAGTATAGAGAAACAATACAGGTCTATTGTATTTCTGCATATCTTGGAAGAGAAGCATTGACTGACTTTTGTTCCACACTATCTTTTCAAGGAAGTTTGCATCCCAAACAGGCTTTGAATATAGAAACAGTGTTTCTCAGGGCGCCTATGTGGCACAGTCGGTTACACGATCAACTCTTGATTTCGGCTCAGGTCAGGATCTCAGGGTCGTGAGACTGAGCCCTGAGTCAGGCTCCCTGCTTGGTGGGGAGTCTGCCTGAGATTCTCTCTCTCTCTCCTCTGCTCCTCCCCCTGCACACACGCTCTCTCTCTCTCTCT